TGAAGTACAGGTAGTCCTCGACTTACAACAATTCGCTTAGTGACTGCTCGAAGTTACAATGGCACTGAAAAAAGTGTCCCCCAAGCCACAGCCGAGCAAGACACCTGCCTGCCCACCCGGCGGCGCTCTTCCTCCTGTCTGAGGTTTTCATTGTTGTGAGCATTTCTGTTGAGGATTGGCAGCGGGGGTGGGGTGGGGGTGTTTGGTTTTTATTCCCCCCATCTGCTGGGTGGTTGCAGCAGGTTTTGGTCACTTCACATGACCCTGGGACACTGTGACCGTCATAAATATGAATCAGTTGCCAAACATCTGAATGTAAATCACAAGACCCTGGAGAGGCTGCAACATTCCAGCTGATCTTCTTCTGGGCTGGAGCTGGAGCCTGGCGCCAATCCTGGCGCTTCCGCTGAGCCCTGACAGCCCTGCAGCTCCAGCCATCTCTCACTCAGGCTTGTGCGGTGCTGCCACCGGTTCAACTCATTCCCCTCCCCCGCTATCACTTTTCTAGAATGGTCGCGTACCACCTGCCAGGTGCCAATGTACTACAGGTGGTACCCGTACCACTGGTTGAAAAGCCTTGCACTAATGGACCAATCCTTTCCTTCACTTTTTTCTTGTTTTTTACATGTTGAAAGAAGCTTTTTTTGTTATTTTTGACTTTGGTCGCAAGCTTTAGTTCATTTTGAACCTTGACTTTCCTCCCTTCATCTTTGCAGACTCGGGCTATTTGTTGATATTCTGATTTAGTTATGTGCCCCTCTTTCCACTTTCTATACTTGTCCTTTTTATCTTTCAATTTGTCAGAGAGTTCTTTATGCAGCCATGCTGGTTTCTTTTGAGAGCTATTATTTTTCCTCTTTGTTGGTATTATGCTAGACTGGGCTTTTATTATCTTGCTTTTCAGAATTTCCCAAGCTTCTTGAGTTGTTTTCCCCTTGAGGATTCTCATCCATCAAGTCCTTCCCAAGCCCTCTCTAAGTTTATTGAAATTAGCTCTCTTGAAGTCCAAGACTCTAGTTTGACTGTGTTCTATTGCTTGTGCTTCCATAATGTTGAATTCCAATATTGCATGATCACTTTCTCCCAAGGTTCCTGTGGCTTCAACACCTTCTATCATTTAATCTCTGTTAGTGAGAATTAGATCCAAAATGGCTAATCCCCTAGTTCCCTTCTCTACTGTTTGGGAGACAAAGTTGTCTGCTAGGTTTGTCAGGAATCTGATCTTCCACTTGGTGCAGAGTTTGTCTCCCAGTTGATGTCAGGGTAGTTAAAGTCCCCCATTACTATTGTGATGTGCTTCCTACATACCTTAGTTAGCTGACTAGCAAAAAGTTCATCTATTTCCTGTGTTTGGTTGGGTGGCCTATAGTATACACCTATGGCAATGTCATTTTTTCTCCCTTTTATATTGACCCAAATGCATTCAAGACAGTTTTCGTCATTGTTGTGCTCTATTTCTGTGGAGATGTAGTTATTTCTTATATAGAGAGCAACTCCACCTCCTCTTTTATTTGATCTGTTTCTTTTAAATAATTTAAATCCCTCTAGCTGTGTGTTCCATTTGTGGGTTTCATCCCACCATGTTTCTGTAATGGCAACAATATCATATCTGCCCTCATTGACCTGAATTTCTAGTTCACCCTGTTTGTTGTTCATACTCTGTGCATTGGTGTATAGACATTTGAGTCCTTTATGACCGACCCTGTGTTTACTTTCTACATAACCTGAGTGGTGCCTGAGTTCCCCTATTGTCTTACTATCTATTTGGTTAATGCACTTTGTGTGGCACTCATTATTAAAAGCTTGATTTTGCTTGACAGCAAGGTTGGTATTTTTGTCCACACACATATCTATGTTACATGCATTGATAGCCCTATTGTTTTTAGATTGCCGGGGACAGGGATGCTCTGTATCGATTAACTCACTGTCCCCGCTGTTTAGTTTAAATATTCCTCCAGAAAATCTGTGAATTTATAGCCGAATAATTCAGTCCCTTTCTTTGATGGATGCAAACCATCTCTTTTGTACATTTTTTCATGGGACCAACTACTGACATCATGACTAATATATCCAAAGCCTTCACCTTTACACCACTCCTTTAGCCACATATTGAATTGTGCTATACGCTGGCTTTTTCCATTTTGTTCTTTATACACTGGTAAAACCTCTGAAAAAGTTAGCCTACAGCCTATTTTGCTAAGTTCCTGCCCCAAGCTCTGGAAATCGTTCTGCACAGAGAGTACATCTTTTTGGGACAGATCGTTAGTTCCAAGATGTACAATAGCCTCCACATCACAGTCCTTGCTGGTATTCTTAATTATTTTAGAAATACGCTTCTTGTCCCTACTGGTAGTAGCACCTGGGAGACATCTGACCTCTTTTGAAACCTCTGTGTCCTTTCCTAAATTTACATCCCTTATAATTGAATCACCAACCAAAAGGTGGCTTCTCTTTTTGGATGCCTTTCTGTTCTTGCATGACTGAATAAGATATTCAGACAACACGTTTTGTTGAATAATTACCATTGAATTCTGTTAAAAAAATTAATCAATAAAATTTTATAAAAAAGATAGAAATGGTATTGGTCATGTTTTTGAATGATCTCTGGCTGGGGCAGGATGGGGGTAGTATATTCATCCTGGCTCTACCTCATCTCTTGGCCGTCCTCAATACCATCAACTATGGTATCTTTCTGGAATGGCTATGTGGACTGGGAGTGGGTGGCACTGTATTGTGCTGGTTCTCTTTTATGGGGCAGACACTGGTTGGTGTTGATTGGGAATGAGAGTCCCTTTATTATGTGGAACGACACTGGGTTTGGTACTTTCTCCATTCCTGTTTAACATCTACATGAAGCTGTGGGGGAATTATATATTTCTACCCCGGCAAACTAAGAAATGCTATTGATGTCCTATGTCAATGCCTGGAAGCTGGGTATATCTGAATGGGAAACAATAGGCTTCAACTCAACCTTGGAAAGACTGAGTCGTTTGGGGTTTTAGGGCCTTCTAGATTTGGGACTTTACCATCTTTGCTAACAGAGGGATAGCACTGCCCCAAATAGACATGGTGCACAATCTGGCGGGGGGGGGATCCTTTTGGGATGCACAGATCCTGCTTGAAGAGCAGGTGGCAGTCATGGATAGGAGGAACTTTGCACAGCTTTGTGTTGTGTGCCAGTTGTGCCCATTCCTGGATGGTGTTTATAGATACTCATGCCCTCATTACCTCTTGAATGCTGACCAAATGGACTATTGTAATGCACTCCAGAAAAGGCTGACCTTGAAGAAACATCTGGAAGCTTCAACTGGTACAAAATGTGATGGTGCAGGCAGTTATGTGTACTCCCAAGAATGGCACATGTTACACCTTTGCTCTGCAAGCTGCATTGGTTGCTGGTTTGCTTTCTTGTTCAATTGAAGATGCTGGCTTTGACTTCTAAAATCCCACAGGCATGAACCCAGGTTACTTGAGGGACTGACTTTCCCCAGTTACATATATCTGTCCCATCAGGCCTGGTAGGAGAGGCATGTTATGGGTATTGTGGATATTGTCTGCTAAGAAGGAAGGCCTTTTCTGCTTTGGCATCCGTTCTTTGGAATGTCAATCTCCCTGAGGTGATATTAGCCCCAATCCTACTGGCATTTATGAAATCCCTCTTCAGCAGCACTGGGGACCCCAAAGAAATGGGGATCTTATGAGATAGTTACACTGTATATCAAATGCTGATCCATTTCTCCCATGTTGTTATTTTAATTTTTATTTAATTGTTTTAAGCTATTGAGTCACATTTGTGAGATAGGTAGCTATACAAACTTGAGAATATACTCTTCCCCCTCCCCGTGTGCGCACACAAACACACACACATACTGTATATAAAATCTTTTCTCACAGGAAACCTCTATCTCGTAGGAGTTTTGCTGACACTTTTTGTATCTTTTAAGCTCTGTAATGTCCTTTTTAATAAAAATTATATCTAGTACTTCAAGAATGTGCTCACCATGGATTTGTGTCAGAACAATTTCATGCTGGCATTTCTGTTTTCAGTGAAGAAAGAGTTTAGTCATAAACGGAATCATCCTGAGATGGCTAAGCAGAGTCAGATTGGGTTAGTAGTTGGATGGGAAGACATGAAAAACTTCTAGGGCTAGGTTGAACAAGACTGGGAAATTAAAAACACATAGAAGGTGACAACACAAGGTCATTTCCATATGTTGGCAAGCAAATCATATAGACATAGCTCCACTGTCACTAGGTCTAACCAGTGGTGGGATTCAAATATGTGAACAACCGGTTCTCTGTGTGGATGCCACTTCCGGAAGTCCATTCTGCGTCTGGACAACAAAAAATTAGCTACTGGTTCTGCTGAACGGGTGCAAACTGGCTGAATCTCACCACTAAGTCTAACAACAGGGTGATTTTACCTTTCATGTTTGTTTCGAAATGATATTGAATTTGTGATGTTTAAACTCTGCATTACAAGGTGGGTTTTTTATGTAACTATTTTTGTTTTAAGTAGAAAACTACTAAAAATTATCCAGAAGATTCACAGCACTGAGGAAGACTTTGTTTAAAATGTCTGGTTTAAGAGTGCCATCAGGGATATTAGACTGCTTTATGAAGGTTACCTTTTTATAATATTTTGATAGATGATATATCAAATTACAAACACACACAAACAGACATATAGATACATATACACAATACATTGACCAATCAATAAGGCATTTTGCTCTTCTACAGAATTTATTTATTTGTTTGCTTATTTAATTATTTATTACATTTATAAAGCTGCCCATCTTTCAATCAACTCTGGGTGGCTCCCAATCAAAAATTAAAAATCATATAAAATCATATCAAATTATGAACCATACCCAATTAAAACATTAAAAACACCAAATCCTGGCATATATTTTGCATGAATGGCATCAGATCAGTTCTAGATTAGTTTTAATATAAGCATTTAAGAAATCCTTGTGGTATAGTTGGAGTGCAAAGAATTTTGGTGATGTTATTTTCAGGCCTTCAGTATTTTCTTTTAATCAACTTTTTTTGATGCTACATAGGCTTGTGATTTTTCCTGTGACCCTTTGAACTTACAGTTTTTATCCCTAGCCTCTACTCCTGCTGATGTTTCCCTTAGGCATTTATAGGACATTCATGCAAAGTATATGAAATCAAATGTCAAGTAAGAATTTGCTGATACTAAAAGATGCCATGATTTTAAGATATTTCCGGCAAAAATAAAAAATATTGAATGGGAAGCCCACTATATTATTTTATTTTGGCAGAAGCAAGAAGCAGGGCATTTTGTCTTCATATTATTATCCTGGCAGCTACTTTGTTGGACCAAACTATTGCAGTTCGAGTACGTATTTTCTTGTGTGCAAGGATTTGCTGAAAATTTTAAAAAGAGAAAAACGTAAATAAAAGTGAGACATCACCAAAAGTACAACTTGCTAGGGACTCTTTTACAATTTTATGCGTTGTTTTAGAGCTCAACATCAAACTTATTTTTTTTCTTAAGGGGTGGATTCAAAGCTGAAGATTTTTAAAAATGAAAATAGTACTTAGAGTAATTATTTAGAGTATATATTAGAATAATTATATGCAGCTGCTGAATTATTACTTTCATCAATAGTCCTGAACAAAATCCAACAAAAAGCTGGTACGGATTTTAAGTTCTTCCTAAGCTGAAATGGATTGATATCGTCCTCGTCTTCCCTGATTCAATTACCTGGGCTCATCAACCACTAGTGTGGGAGCATATAGAAGCACCATTGAGGCAACTCTGGATGTCTGATTATCCCACGATAGCATGCTTCATGTATGTGGTGATCCAGATGTCTTGCCTAGGCCTATCTTACTGGATAGTTGGCTATCTTCCATTAAACCTGTTATTCTACCTAGAGACGATTAGCTCCTCATATGAAATCTGTTCTTTGCTGACATGACCTTTAAAAATGTTGGTTTAATAATTGACTTAAAAAAAAACTTACTGCATAGTCCATTGTCACAATCCGAAGGACAATCCCCACAAGGTGGCCCTGATGTATATGGAGTAGCAGTTTTACCTATCATGTTTCCTCTGGAATGAAAAAGATGACCGGAAAGTAAATTACTTTTAAGGATAGCATTAGGAAATTATATTCTTTCAAAGTGGCAAGGTCAGTAAATGATTTGGGAGATTTTTCATTGCTTCAATTTCATATTCTACCATCAGCCAACTTCAAATGCAGATTTAGAAAAATCACCTACATAGAAAGGATTTGTCCATATGCTTCAGGCCCATTGCTTAGAACTCTTAGAAATTATTTGTTGGAACCCCTATTTCAGGTAATCCTTGGTGTCCTGATATGTTTCATCTTCAATATCTTATATTGAACAAATACCCTCTCCAAAAACTCACATACAATGGCTAAACTTGAATTATTAGCATGCAAAACATATTGCAGTTAGCTAACATATAAGTCTATCTAGGGGTAGCCATATTTTACTGCTACACTCACATTTATTTTGTTCTTTTTATCATACCCTGCTTTATATTTTGTTTGAGTGTAAGATAGTAAACAACATTTGATTTAAGCCCATTGTTTTCTTTTCCAGGGCAATCAGAATCATTCTAATTAGACTTGCTGTAAATGTGACAAATAAAGAAATCATAGTTTATACATACGCTGGGCAGTACTGACAAACATAGAAGTATCTGTATTTTGATGAAGGACAATAGGCAGCAGCACAACCACCACGGTAACTTTTGTACCAAACTATCTGTAGATACAAAAATATGCACACAGGTTAACATGCTAGTAGCTTAATATTGATAATAAGCATACGGATTGTATAGGGGCATGTAAAGAAAATTGCATAAGGGATGTAAGAAAATGCACTATATATAATTGCCTGCTCCTAGCCAGTGAAGTGGGATACCACAATAACAATAACAATGAGTATACAATGAACATTTCCAATCATTTTCTTTCTCTGAATTAAAAAGTGTGTTCATTTCTATAGTTTGCAGAAGCAAAGAAATATTAGAACAAATGAGGCTTCATCCCCTGTGCCTTAAATGTATGTATTTAAAATGTAAAATATGAAAATGCTCCATCCTGAACTTTATAGACCATCTCTTTCTAAAGTGCCCCATCACATCCAAAGCAAGCTGAGTAACTTGCTATTACCAGCAAGTTAGTTCTTCCTTCCTAGCTGCATGAAAGCCAAGATCTGAGGCACTATATGTGAATAACAAATAACAGATTTAGTATGTTTGCAATCCTTTATTTACACTATATCAGAACTTAAAAACAAAACAGTACAACCTAGTCTAGTTTTCTCTTTCCTTAACATGCATTGGGACTATGGCTCTTAGCCAAGATGCTCCTGTGCTCATGTTTATGAAATTACTTAGCGATTGTAAGGACACAGTTGCTTGGTTTTCATGGCCACAGCAACACACATATTTTGCTATTATCTTTTTGTGGGGTGTTTTCTCAATTTTCCAGTCTACCTTCAAGCCATGGCTTTCCTGTGCAGCAGCCAGGCCTGGCTTAGCTCAGTGATTCAGGATCAGCCAAGGACTTGAACTTGATTCAAGGGAGTCTACCTTTTTATCTTATTCATTTTTGTGGGTTTATACCTGTGAACATAGAAATGGCAAAGATATGAAAAAGTACTACCTGAGTGTAATGGCCAGTAACAGCATTTGATGGGACTGCTCCAACGCCATACTTGAAATCTTTGTATTCACCATGCCAAGCGTGAATAATGTCAGTCCATTTCGCAGGATAAGGTGACATATATATATTTTCACCACATTTTATTCCTCCTAAAAGTGGGGAGGGTTAAAAAAAAGCAACAGCAAGAAAACACAGGTGAATACATGTTTTGAAAGAAGCGAAGGACAGCAAAAAAGAGATAACTGAGCATTTCTTATCTCTCCAGAAGCACTGACACATTCGTCTTGCTAAACTATTGGGAAGGAAATGAACATTTTGCACCCAGATTTTTTTTTCTGTGGTGCTTTTCCAGAACCTTTAATTGTGCAAGTTGATAATCATTTGTTTTCTGATGAACATAAAATAATATAGTTTATTTGGAAGGAAATTAGAGCCCAAATGTTAATACATAGTGTGGTACTGAGATTAGGGAGATTAAGGTTTAATTCTCCACTTGACCATGGAAATCTCTGAACATCTTTGAGCTCAGCATCTACCATCACAAACAGCTGTGGTGAGGACAATCTCTTTAACATCATGGGGGGAAGGTGGGCTATAAATGTAGTAATATATAATATTTAAAAAATGAAAAAAATCACTGTTCAAATACTATTTCTCTTGCAAACTAACGGGGGGGGGGGGAAGAAAGGAAAATTAAGAAAATTATTACCTTCTCAATTCTTCTACCCCCCAATTAGAAAAGAAAAAAAAGAAAAGAAGAAATAGGGGTGACATAATAGTAGTATTCCAGTATTTGAGAGGCTGCCACAAAGAAGGGGGGTAAAATTATTCTCCAAAGCACCAGAGGACAAGACAAGAAACAATGGTTGGAAACTGATCAAAGAGAGAAGCAACCTGGAATTAAGGAGAAACTTCCTAACAGTGAGGACAATTAATCAGTGGAACAGCTTGCCTTCAGAAATCGTGGGCGCTCCATCACTGGAGATTTTTAAGAAGAGACTGGATAGTCACTTGTCTGAGATGGTGTAGGTTCTCCTGCTTGAGCAGGGGGTTGGACTAGAAGACCTCCAAGGTCCCTTCCAACTCAATATTCTATTCTATTCTATTCTATTCTATTCTATTCTATTCTATTCTATTCTATTCTATTCTATTCTAATTATCTACATGGGAGTGGCAACTATAGAGTGATTCATAGGTATTACTCTTGCTGCTAATATTGATGAATAAGATTGATTGTAACTGATATTTAATGTGAAATATACTATTAATCCTCTAACCAGTTATAGCCATACTATGCTTTTAGATTGACTTACCAATAACTCTTGAATCGCGTGAACTGTGACTCTCAATACATCTGTACGCCCAACGTTCTGCATTAGCAGCAGCTTCAGGATACCATTCCTGAATAGAATAGAAATCAACAGCAACAATCAATCAATGAAAGAGGCATAATTTAAAATTGCAGAAAATATTTAATCCTTTTTTACTTCCTTTTGGCTTCCTTCAACTCTTGTAGTTAAGAACTCAGAAGTTACAGCAATATTCACTAAAACATCCTTTGAATAGTTGGAGTGGGATTGTATGGCTTCCTTCCCACCCTTTTTGACACCAAATGCAAGCAACCCATGTTGCACCCTGATGAATGCCATTAATGTTTCCTTCTGACCAGCAGTGTTAAAATTCTGATTAAGATGGAGTTCTCTAATGAGTGTATGTTGAATGCTCCTGCATGCAGAAGCCAAAGAAAAAAATATGATATTTTCCAATCCAAGAAAAAATAAGGTTAAGAGATGATAATTATGGTTGGAACCTTTCAACCATTATTATTGTAGCTTGCTTATTTATATTTATATTTCAAATATATATAGCTGTCCATCTCACAAAACTCTGGTGGTGTGCATAAATCATTACATTTGGGCTTTTTATTCTGTTTTCTGGTGATACTGCCATGTGAATCAAAGATCTACCTGGGCCATTTGCTTTGCCAATATGCATTGTTATTTTAATGGGTAAAATACTTTGTAAAACTGGTTTTACTTTTGAAAAAAGCTAATCAAGTTTTTTCATAAAATAAAGAAAAATCAGATTGTACAAAACAGTACAGAAAACTGGTATTATCCTTTTCAAGAACAGACTGGACAGCCATTTTGTCTGGAATGGTATATAGGATCTCCTACCATGGTCAGGCGGTTGGACCAGAGACCACCAAGATCCCTTCCAACCCTATTATTTTATGTTTGATGGCAATTGAAACCACAGTGCATGAATGTAACTGGCAGTATTTTAACTGATTTTCATGTAAAAGAAGGAAAATCCAGATGTCATAGGTATTGTACTATGCTTGTTGTTGTTAATTGCGAAGTCGTGTCCAACCCATTGTGACCCCCCGGACAATGTTCCTCCAGGCCTTCCTGCCCTTTACCATCTTCTGGAGTCCATTTAAGCTCACGCCTACTGCTTCAATGACTCCATCCAGCCACCTCATTCTCTGTCGTCCCCTTCTTCTATTGCCTTCAGTCAATTAGGCCCTTCTCCAGTGAGTCCTATGCTATTTAGGTGCAATTATGTATGTATGTATGTATGTATGTATGCAGCGTAGGTATAATTACTAGAGCACGTGCTATTGATTTCCATGGAATTTATATCAAAGGACTTCACTTGAGACTTCAATTTATGTGAAATGTTCAACTCTGAAAGTCTAGCCTTTGCTGTGATTATGGCAATTAAAGATACAATAGCCAATATTGGAAAAGATATAAAAAATACAGCTATGGGGAGATATTTGATATTGCGGAAGACTCTCTTAATTCCCTCTCAATTTCCTACTTTGATTATATGTTTTCATGATCTTTTTTTTTCATTGTATATTTCTCTGAGTGATATTATAACTGACAGATTCAAATATAAATACAGATGCACCTAAATGCATATGGTCCAAAAAGAGAATCACTCAGTCAATAAATAGTAGGTATGTTCTCTTATCCTATTTGGTAAATCACATAATTTTTATACTAGTAAGAAAATTAAACTTCCAAACTCTCTGACAAATACAATTACATTTAGTTTACCATTTTTAGCATGTTGCTAGCAGTTGGATTCACAGATCTCCTTAAGGAATTGTGCAAGTCAATAATCTCGTTTTGTATTTCTGGTTTCCTGGGTGATTCAGAATCAAAATCAACCTTAAGATAGCAAGCAAAATAAAATAAAAACAATTAAAATTGTATGACTTTAAACAGAACAGGCAACTAGTGGTCTCAGGACTCAGCATCAGTTCTTGTGAATGACTTTGCCTTATCTCTGTCTGTCACCATTCTACTCCGTGCAACTTTCTTCTGATCCCCAGCTATGAAACAGTGGGCCCATTTGTCTTTGTATTTGAAAAGAGACTAGCCATAACATAGGAAAAGGGATCACAGAACCAAGTTAAAATAAATTAATCATTTCCCCCTAATCTATTCTTCAAGGGAATACTGCAATGGTATTTACGTATTTATATAAAGAATTTATATGGATGTCTTTATAATGATCCTAAATGGCTCACAACAGGAATAAAAAAAGAGCCACCCTACCACCAAGTGTCAGACCAAGCAGCCTCATTGAACCCCCATCCTAGCCCAACACTTGGGGAGAGGGGACAGAACCAGGTCTTCACTGCCCTCTGGAAGGCTTTAAAGGGTAGGGATCCCTCAAATCTCAGTTGTGGGGGTGCTATTCCAGCAGATTGGGACTTGAGTTCTGTTATAGACCACAGGAATTAAAATTATTCTTTTCATTAAATCTGTCAGTTTTAATTATATTTGACTGCCCTGTTCAGCATGATTGTGTTTTGCTTTGTGTGTTCAGCTCTGTAATATATTTATGAATTAAAATGAACAGTTAGACTGACCAAGCTTCACTGACCAGTGTTACAGCAAGAGTCTTGAAAGTCTGAGTGCATTTTTCCCAGCCTTCATCTTATTGAGAGCTAAGAGTGGTCTTGTCTGAGAAGCTTTCTCAAATTACATTTCTGCACTGGATTCAGATTTAACTGACTGTTGTCTCAGCTACATCTCTTCCTCTTGCTCCTCAAGGTTACATGACACACATGGAACAATCCAACACACATTAGGCAGTTTAATAAATGATTAATTGTAAGAGGAGAAAGTTATGTACGGTATATATTAAATCTGCTATACGTGATACAAAATTATTAAACTTACATTTCCAGAAGACTGTTGCAGCACTGCAGCAAGAATTGGCAAAACAATGAAGGCAATCATTTCTAAAAACAAAAGAACATTGAGACATATCAATGTTTCATCTCCTTAATGGGATTTATATCAACTTTCTGTAAGTAGTTCAGATATCTCCTAGACACAAAACTTACTCTATGTGTTTTCTCTTTTATTCCCTTGTACTCCAATAGGCATCCTACATATCCATGGTTCATTCCATGGATATGTAAATCATCTATAAATCCACACTAGTTCCTTAAGTTTTCCCTTATTGATTTGCTACAGTAAAAGATAACTTTCACCCCAGTCATTTCCATAAAAGCCAATCAAAAAATCACACCGATCAAAGATTATTGGATCTAAAGTTCAAGATGTCTGAAGGATCCCAGATTGGTAACAGCTCATTTAGAATATGTTGCTTCTCAATCTTTTGCCTTATATCAAGTATAATCAACTATATCAGCAGATGCAAAAGCTACACACTAACACATTTGGCAATAGTGATTGCTCCTGAGGCAATGCAATCAGAATTTGTTCCTGATTGCAAGAATTTGTCCTGGCAGCCTTTATCTTGAAAGCGTGGAAACAGATTGGATTAACATGATACTTAGTTGACTTCTCAGCATCTCAGTGTGTTAAGAAGTGGTGTGACACCACTGTATGTGGAGTTGGCTTTTCTGTGGTTCTTTTCCATGGCTGTAGCATCTAATGAGAAACTACAGGAAGCAGAAACTGAGATGAACTTTAAAATGCATAGCAGAATGAGCAGCGTATAAATTTAATAATTTTTTTTAAAATTAAAATTGTTCGGTTAGAAGGATAGCACTATGCATAAAATATTTGGGGGCACCAAACCAGCTATTTCCAGAGAATCTTAGAAATGTTAGTTTACTAAGGGAAGATCCCAGGGATGCCTAAAAGGATCACTGGAAAACTAAAAAAAACCAGCAGTGTCAGATTTTTTTAAAAAACAAAGCCATGCTATTTAAGCTAGCATAAAACCTAATGTATTATGGTAATAGATGTAACATATTCTCAAAAATAGAACAAAATAAAACAATTTCATAGAAGTTGCATAAATACTAATTGCCTTTCTCCCCCTAAAGTTATCCAAACTTGTTTAATTACAAACAATGGATTTAAACAACCTGCAGTAAAATAATAAATCTTACCTATTGTTTTGAATAAACGTAAAAATAACTTCTTTGTTGCTTTCAGAAAATCGTGGAAGTCAGACAGTCAGTACCAGGTTTATATACGTACCTTCACTGTTTCCTGTAATTCAGAGTGAGCCTTGTAAGACAGAAGTTTGGATTTGTCTCAAGTTCTTTTTTTCTTCTTGGTTGTCAATCAGTCCCTTAACAACTGATGTAACAACAGACTAAAAATAGTTACTTACAACCCATCATTGAAAATATGACTACTACCTGCCTTCCACCTCGGCAACATGATCATATTTTGAGTACGTGGCAACCAGCTCGAATTTATGTCCAGTTACAGTCATTCTCAGTCACATGACTATGATTTGCAACTTTTTTGCCTTTTTCCAGCATAAAATGGCAAAAAATACACATTGGATATACTGAATTTGCTTAACGACTACATGGTTAGTTTAAGCACAATGACGTATGAGCAAAATTTGGGGTCCATTGTGGTTGTTAAGCAAGGACTACTTATAATGTTATCACCCCTGCAGTTACATTTCAAGATAAGGTAAAAATATTGAAAGTATACAAACTGTAGCTTTGTGATCATTCAAACTCTATACTCATATGCTAATAGTGTAGTATGGAGAATGATAACCTTGATTTACCAAAAAAAGAAGTTTGCAAAAGACAAACTAGAAACAAAACTTAAAATAAGCAAGAAAATGATAACATAACACCTATCTGACCTTGACGAATATAAATCACCAGGACCCGACAGATTACATCCCAGAGTTCTGAAGGAGCTGGCAGATGTTATCTCAGAACCATTGCACCACATCTTTCAAAAATCCTGGAGCACCTGGGAAGTACTTGAGGATTGGAAAAGGGCTGATGTGGTTCCCATCTTCAAAAAAAGGGGGAAAAAAACCAGACCTAGGAAACTACAGACCAATCTGTCTAACATCAATATCTGGGAAGATCCTGGAAAAGATAATAAAAAAGAGATCTGTGAACAACTAGAAGCAAACAAAGTTATAACTAGTAGCCAGCACAGGTTTATTAAAAACAGATCATGCCAGACTTCCAGTTTGCCATCGCGGGGCCATGGACGCTAGAAGACAAGCTTCATTTTTCACATCCGAATTTGTCCCGCTGGGGGATCCTGGAAAGGGTAGAAAGTCGCTCTGTAGGGGTGACGAGCAAGGAGGGCCCCCTTCTGTTTGATCCGGGGAAGCCCTCCAAACCAGCGGGGGAAAGACCAGCCATAGCAATATGGCTTGTCACTAAGCTGCTGACAGTAAAAATCACCACCAAGCACTTTTAAAGCAACATGGATGAGGTGAGATCTGATCCTCTCTTTAAGACTTTAAGTATTTTTTCCTGTAAAAGCTGCCCAAAGTATTTTCCCCCCTGTGAGGAGAGAGGGAAGGGAATTTCTACCCCATGCTCTAAGAAAAGCAGCGACTAACTACCTAGGGGAAACAGAGCAACTATAAGAACAATTTTAATCTAATTGGATGTATATGCTTTTGAAACTTGGGGACTAAAGGTTTTCCTATTCTTACTGGAGACGTTTGTTTTTATCTAAAAAAGAAAATAAGACTTGAAAAACTATCATAAAAAGCTTTAAAAGGTGTCGGTGATAGCTTGTGGCAAAGTATGGTATTACAATTTGTTATTCCTGAAAAATACTTGGCTTGAAGCCCAGACTCCAGAAAAAACTTCTCTGACCTTGACAGTTGCCACCTGTGCAAAACTCAGCTGCAAAGAAGAAACTTCTGGGTGGCGTATCTGGCCTGTTTGAACTATGAATGTAAACTTTTACTGACTTTCAGAGCTATACTTGGAGAATTGCTTTCCTATTTCTTTACATGAGAAGCATATGTTATTATACAAGATGATGGAATACCTTGGACTACAAAAACTTACTTGACAAACAATTTCAACTATAAAGACTACCTATAACATGTGAAATAGATCTCCCTATCTAGCTATAAAAAACTATTTTTATCGTTTGATTCTAAAGTCTTCAACTTAACATACTATCAAGAGAATATATATATGATATGGACCCCCTTTTCATTACCGCCCTCAATGTGTTGCTTTCCATAACAACAGTTCCATGTCCTGCCAGATTCAGCTGTTGTAGTTGGCTCTGTTTTACCCCTTGACAAATACCAGGGATACCTCTCTGGGCTTCCCACATTTACAAACCTGAGGTTCATAAATCAGCTTTACCTGCTAAGGATGTCTATCAGGATTGACTCAAGGAAGTCTGAAGGTGTTTCTGTCAAATTTTAGGCTAGTGATCATTGATCCTCAAACACCCTATATTAGTCTGACTATCTCAACCACATTTAGTCACAGAATGGTCACAGTAACCATCTGTCCTAATATGGACCCCAAATACTTGTAACTATTTGGATACTGCTGTCAAATCTATCCATAGGATATTCATAGTATCTTTTGGTCTCAGTACCATACCAGGGATGCTGCCACATCTTCCATCCCTTCTCACCATGGCCATGCTACAAGATCCAGGCTACACCACTCTTCGGGTCTTTGAGTAAGCTTAAGGCTTACAAATCAGAGCAGGTTTACTTAAAGCTTAAGAAATGACATACATGTCATATAAAATCGAACATCTAATATTTTGTAAATATTTGCAAAGTTCATCATGCTCATTTAAGGGAATGTCATCTTCTTTCCAAATTACATCCTTTTTTTTTTTTTTTTTGCTTCTTCTGACAACCTGAGAAAATCTAGAACCAGTTTTTCCTTGTAAAATATAAGCAAGGACTGGGAGTGAGAAAGGCAAGAAAAAGATCAGGTGTGTGTGTGGGGGCTATGTGCTTTTGCCAAATTATATCAAAATAAAGGAAGACTCAGTGTTTCTCACAGGGCTCCTTTTATTACAACCCAGACAGAATTTCCCCGTTCTGAGAGAGGGCATCACCTGCTGGAGATGTACATAACCATTTCGTGGTTATCTCTAAAGGGCAGTCGTGGGATTTCTCTTACGAATGTTCTACACTAAATTGAATAGGCATAAAGAATCAGATGTTTATCAAGCGACTAGGAGCATCCAGAGGAAAGTGCCCTTTCATTCCCATTCTACTATTGCTCCTCCAGGCTTTTTATTTTTAGAGCCACATTTGGCTGGCAACTTACTTGAATTTTGGGTAGGAATAAAAAGATCTGAACCAAAAGAAAGTTAGCCTTTTCCAACTGTGCAGCAATGCGAGAATTTTAAAGCTACCATTGCTTGCTGGGACTGAAGTAATATTTATGAAATTTGTTCTGTACCACTTTTTTACAAATGTAATGTTACTGAAATATTTTTAAAAGAGTAAACATTAATGCAAGCTAAAAATAAGAGTAAAAAGGAAAAAAGAAACGGGAAAGGGAAGCAATGAAAGAGAAATCTAAAATACAAAAAGAAAAAAGACAGAAGAAAAATAGAAAATAACGAAAAAAGGTAAGTGGCTTCCAATCTGCTTTGTAGCACTTATAAATACAATTATAGATTTACCTCTTTCTCAAAAATTATGTTGTGACTCTCTTCTTTGTGTAATCTATCCCACCTACTTGTCAAAACTATAGTGCGTAAGTATGTTTTTCTGCTTTACACAAAAAGTCCATAAGGTTTCCACTCAGCAATAAATGTAGATAATTGTCTTTTCTCTCATCAAACAGGTCAATTTGGCCATCTCATTCACCAACCACTCCTCTGTATTATCAGTTCTTTCAAGTATTCAATTATTGGTTGAAGAAAGGATCAATACTGTCCCAGTCACAGTTTGTAATAATTTTCCCTATCTTCAGACTTGTTATAATTTTATTTAATAACCTAGCTAGTGTTGCAATGGAAAATTATATTGGGACCAAGTCCAATTCTCCTTAAAAAAATAACTCTCCCTACTTAAAGGATCAGAAAGTGAAAGCAGTGGGAAAAGTTATGCAGTAAGTCATGACTTTATGCACATATTAAAAAGATTGAACAATATTATGTACATCAAGCTTCAAGGAAGTATAGCAAGGTCTTACATACAAATTAAATACTCTGCCAATGTTGTGATATCTTTAGCTACAACACTAAACTTACAACATGTCGGGGTAAATTAGGTTGTCTTCATATAAGAGTTTCTAAATAAGTCTCTTATTTATTTATTTATTTATTTACTTACTTACTTACTTACTTACTTACTTACTTACTTGTTTTTTTTTTGTTTATTTATTTATTGCTGATCTTGACAGTAAAAGCTGTAAAATGGTAAAACATTAATATGTCTAAAAAGAATAAAATAGAATAGAATCACAACGAAAAATAAAATTACAGTTGAAAGATGGGAGCAGGATGTGTGTATGTGTGTGTGTGTGACTTTCTTTTAATCTATCAACTACGGAAGTGTGATACTCCTTCCTTACTTCCCTCTTGTAGACCTCACTGGATAAGCTTTTAAGGACTTCTCAAATTTGTGTGGCCCATTTGCATATGCGTAAATGAGGCCGCTAGTGCCGCACCAGTGCGCGTGGTCCCATTTGTGCCCACACGAACACATACACCAATTTGGAAGCTGCTCTCCTTCCCTCTGGGCTGCGAGCCCGGAACGATTGGAGACCTCTGTTCTAGACAGTCTGCATTAGAGACTAGTTGGAGATCCCTCAGTTCCTTTTAATATTACTGATCATAGGAAGCAGTTTTGAAGCAGTTTTGGTGGGTCTGCTCTCATTTCTCAAATGCTACTGGAAGCACTGCTTAAACCCATTGAGAAGTATCCTGAAAAGTACAAGTACAAGTATCCCCTGTACATCTTTTGATAACATCCATGGTAGCACAGTGGTTAGAATACAGTATTGCAGGCTAATTCTGCCAACTACCAGCAGTTTGATCCTGACCAGCTGAAGGTTGACTCAACCTTCCATCCTTCCAAGATTGGTGAAATGAGGACCCAGATTGTTGGGGGCAATGTGCTGACTCTGCAAGCAGCTTAGAGAGGGCTGTAAACCACTATAAAGTGGTATATAAGTCTGAGTGCTATTGCAATTGTTATAATTTAAAAGAGAGAAAGGCAAGC